ATATACGAGGTTAGATACGGGGTCATTCAATGCACGTTGCTATAGAACAGCAGCTTGCATCTAATAATGCGAGGAAACGCTCTGAGAATAATTTTGTTTCTTTCTCTTTCTTTTCGTAGCCAATGGATGATGTTGTTCAAAAACCAAATAAGGGATTGTCGACTATCACAGCTAAACTCAGGGACAAGGTATTAACTGGTTTTCTTATCCATATGTAAGTTGTTATAGTGCTGCGAAATATTCCAACCAAGAGATCTTTTACGAGTAAAGAACTCTCTGGTTTCTGTAGACCGTGATAGTGCCACAGGGATACCAGCAGCCAAGAGACTATGATCTTAGAGAATCTAATTTTAGCGCGTGGTCGGACTGAGAGGATATTTAAAGAAAGAGACCAGGTTGGTCAATTTAATGACGTAATAGTAGTAAAGGTTTGGTTTTACTACGTTCACCAAAGATGAAAGAAAAAACTTCATAAGGAAGGGGGATTAAATATTCTAACCAAAGGGATTTTTTTCGCTTTAATCATTGGGCGTGTACGGGGATGTGTTCTCTTAGATCATAGTCTCTTCCAGCAGCGGTATCTTAAACTTGAGTCAAACCAAAAGAGAAACAGGGAGTAACTATGTTACGATGGGAGTAATTATGTAACGATATTTGTAGGAGTAGCTGTTGTTGCTGTCCCGAGACAACCTCTGTGGAAAGTGACACCCAGTCCGACTGTATCTTACGAACACCTGGTAAAACCTAATCTTTGGCTCGTCACGCTTCTCCTCGCTAGTCACGCAACGCTTGTCCCCACTAACTGCTCAAATAACCTGCGGGACTTTGTAAAGTCACGTTTCTTATCACTCAAACAAAGAAAAAACTCAAAATCACGGCAAGCATGGTACATTGCATTGTCTTACCTTCTGTTTCGTTTTTTATCTTTCAGTTGTCAGGAAAATGGATAAATCTTATGCGAGCTTTCAAAAAACTCGATAAGGACAACAAAGATTTTCTCACGCTTCAAGAATTCCGTCACGTGTTAGAGCTGTGCAACGTGGTGCTGGATGAGGAAGATATTTATCACATTTTAACAGAGTTTGACGAAAAGGACGGCGATCAGATAAGATACACAAAGTTCTTAGACAAGATTAAGTGACATGTCACTACTAGCGTGCCACACTTGTGTGTACTATCAGCAAATAATTATTTGTACAGTTTTAAAATTAGAACTTGTTACAAGATTGTATAAATGTGAAACGTCGGCTAAAGAGAGCAAGAAATACTGTGGTCCATATTAATGTTCTCGACTGGAACTACAATGGACGTCAAGAGTGTTGAGACACTTGGCAGTGAAATTCGATTTCCGTGCGTCTTGGACAAATTTTCTCCCCTTCCCCCTGAAACAATGTTGATTTTTCTGTTTCTTAAACTGCACAGACCACAGCGCCTACACAACATTGAATTTGGGGACCGGGGGTATCAGAGAATTAATGCTAAATGCAAATAAAATAGAATAAGTGCTTAAATATTTGAATTTGAAGAGACTCCCCAGATTAACCTCAGTTGCATGCTAGTTCCAGTCCAACACCGAGAATACGAAAATGGTCTACACTGTATCATCAGACCTTATCCCAAGGGAAAAAATTATTGCTTTTGGCGCTGGAGTCCTGCAATTTCATGTGAAAGTTTTCGTGCTGTAATTGTGACACGAAACAAAACAGGTTTCGCCAAGAATTACTGGTTGTGACTTGTTTTCTGCAGCTGTGAAGCGTTGGATATTGTTCGACAACTGTGAACGATAAGAGTAGTTCACATGGTCCGAAACTACAAGAAGGCAGTTTCGGCGCTACTACTCTTAAACCACTCCAGGTCACTCAAACAAGCATGCGCATTCGCGAAGAAACTTTTTAACTATTTAAACAGATCTCTTATGAATCATAATTTTGGTTACCCCTTATAGAATCAAACAAATAGTAGTTCTAATGAAAACTTGAAAAATCCTTTACGGTAAATAGGAAGCAATAAATCGAAATGATCTCGCGCCTATGCCTTGAATTAGTTCCATTCATTACTACCTTTATAGAAAACTATTTCAAAGCAGGACGTTTCACTTGCAATCTAACCGTGTCATTTACATTTATTAAATTCATTGTTAACGTTTATATTAAAATTCCATTTTAGTTGCACAGTGTATAAAATTTTTTTTGCCTTATAGATTTTTTTTAATTTCCCTGTACAAGCTCGTAAACGATATCTGAGCCCAGACTGTATCCATCAGACAATGAGTCTTATTATTACAGCTGTATTGTGAGGGCGTGGCTTCGAATCTTGTCCGGCGAAGTATCGGAGTTTTCCTGAGCGTTTTTTTGTCACGGAAAGAGTGTTTTTCGTGACTACGGAAAGTTACAGAAGAGTCCATTCTTCATAGTTTTCGTGACTGAATACTGATCACTCACTAACTATAGAGAGGGTCTGAATGGGGTTAACCGACTAGCGACAAAGGGCGAAAAATATTACTGACTGCCGACAAAACCAGGAAAAAATTACCGACTAGCAACTAAACAATTAACTGAGATTTATCGACAACCGTCAAAGGTCGAAAATTTTAGCCGAGAACCGACAAAGTAATGAAATTTTAACCGACATTCGACATGTGGACCCCCACCGCCCATTCAGACCCTCAACTACGACTACTACGCCTGCAAGATGTAAAGAAAATTCATCGAGCCCGAGGTCAACCGAAGTATCCCGAAGGATCTCGTCGGTTCGGCTGCATCTGTCCTCGTTTTGCTGGTGAAGTATTTGGAGGTCGGTTTTGTTTTGGAGGTGAAGCAGGACCTTTATTTCTAGTTCACTCTTATCATTCAGGTTCATGGCCTAAAACCTGATAACACACAATTTTGGCCTTTATTGCTTTTCACGCGGCTTTAATCCGCTAAACGTTTCTCAGCGCTTTCTACTTTCTTTAACTTTTGCCGCCCTTTCCACCTGTTGCAAGTTTTACCGCCCTTTCCACCTGTTGCAAGTCTTGCCGCCCTTTCCACCTGTCGCAAGTTTTGCCGCCCTTTCCATCTGTTGCAAGTTTTCCCGCCTTTTTTACGACTCTTACCTGGTTGAAGTTTTCCGCGCTTTCTACCGCTACAAGTTTTTCGCGTTTTTCACCCACTACGAGCATTCTACTGGCTACGAGTTTTCCTGCACTTTCCACCTGCTGCAAGCCGTTCCAGCTCTTTCTACGTACCTGCTAGACGTCTTTTCGCCTTTTCGGAGGCCACACCTTTGTTTTTCGTTTTTCATTTACGATTTTCCCTGCCATCCCTGCTATGGCTCATTCTTTAGTCTTTAAATTTTGCGGTCGTGTTTCATTTTGGACCGCCAAGTCCATGGCTTACCCTCTTGAAAAATAATTTTTTTATGATTTTTTTGACCCAGCGTTGTGAGCATGGCTTCATAGACATCATATTCTCTTGCATGGTATCCTACAGAATCCTGCTTAATTAAGGACGTTCGCGCTAACTGTTTCTGCGCATCCTTACTGCGCACGCAAATTCACACTCCACGTCATGCATCGATGCGCGCGCTGCAGATGGCCATTGCTATAGCTTTGCCTGGATTTAACGATCTTGGACGTTCGGTGATCCCTATTTATCCTTTTGATGGATCATTTTCTCTACCGATTTTCTGCGTTTAGCGAAAAAATGAAGACAGTTTATTGAAATACATTATCGAATTCCGCTTCGTTTATTTTTGCGGCGGTTTCAAATGCCTCTGGAAGGGTTAAGTTTTGCGAAAACGCTGGCAACAATTGGAATTATTTACGCAACAGACCCACCTACAAAATATGAGTAAGATCGTTTGCCGTCGTTGACTCACCTTCGATATTTTTTAACAATAATCCCCAGTAGACCATGCTGAATTACGTGCACCAATTTTGCAATATCAGGGTAGTTTTCCACGGGCTTTATTTCTGAAACGAAGTCGGTGACCCAAAGTTTTTTTGCATTTCTGACACAAGTAACTCATTATCTGACTGTAATAAAAATTTCAATAAAATCTATCGACAGGAAAATTTTCGCGGGAACGTCCTTAAAACGTCAACCTTGATAAATTAACTCTGGCCCACTTTGAATAAAGCACGGTCAATAATTGTTGTAAAGAATGTATCGATAAATGCGATATAACGAGTGTTAGAATTATGTTAACAATAATCCGATTGAATTTTGTTCATTCTTTATGTTTCCCCACCAAGAGAAAACGTTTTTCTCGTAGAAAATTGGAAAAAAAAACAATAATTCAACATTGGTCTTAGCCAAGAGATTTAGATTATTATAGTCTGTCGACTTAGCTAAGAGGTTTTCGTTTCAGCATTATTCTCAGAGATAATCACATTAAAGCGAATGTTGTTAATGGCAATCTCAAGTTGACTTGTCGTCATATTAGTTTCCTTTGTAAACACCTTTTCGGTTCAATTTAAAAGATTTTAAAGTTTAAGCAGCTGAGTAAGCATGTGACACGAAAGTTAAAGCACAGCTAGCCTAAGTATGTTGAGTGCCTGTCGGATAATGACACAAAAGACAGTGAATAAATAGAACTAGTTTTTCATCGGAAATCTTCAGTGTGTGATTCGGACGTCACTTTTTTTTTTACTGTTTATTGAATTTTTATGCAATAGTATAAGCGTTGACTGAAAAAAAGGGGAGAAGATTGATAAACCAAAACAAATGGAGTAACTAGGTCACACACGTGATTCAGTCTGATTTTAGTGTTCACCTGTATACATTTTTACAATTCTAAGTTTCTCCCATCTACTCCATTTCTTGTCCCATCCCTTCAATTCGATCGGCTCTCTCGAATCACATCTTAAATTATAACACAGGTTTGTATTGTTTAAAGCTTATAGGACCCTCCGCTGTACGTGTATGACGGTTTTTGGTAGATTGTAAGCCTGAAAAAGATATGGCTGAGTTTTTCTTTCGGGGGTGGAGAGGCAGGGGCGGCTGTGTAACAGCCATCGAAGAATAAGGCACTACATTTGGCTCAGGCGCGCGGTAGAGTTTCCACATGGTGTTCAAACGTTTCTCTATACCTTGCTCGTGGTGGATTCTCGAAAGATTTCACATGATTGATTATGCTTCAAAGGCCGCACTATTTTCATTGTACTCACTGAAATTACTCAGGCTGATATGATAATTTTACCCAAAGATAACTTTCAGGGATAATTTTCATCATAGTTAGTAACTATGTTTTCGTAAACTGTTTTGGTTTTTCTGTGTCCCTGCCGAGAAACCCAAAAAAATGGACTTCCATTCAACCGTAGTGGTACGAACTCCTAAAGCATTTAAGGACGCTCGCGCGAAAATTTTCCAACACTG